AGCCCTAAACCCTAAACCCTAAACCCTAGGCACTAAACCCTAAACCCTACACCCTAATGCCATAGTTTCAAGAAGCAAAACCCTAAACCCTAAACCCTAAGCCCTAAACCCTAAACCCTAAACCCTAGGCACTAAACAAAGGGTTCAGGCCCTTAGGCCTTTTAAATCGAAAGTCAGGAATGCGACCTAAAGGATATGGCTTTGAGGTTTAGGGTTTAGAGTTTAGGGTTTTCGGGTTCAGGGTTTAGGGTTTCGGGTTTGAGGGTTTAGGGCTTGTTGGGTTTAGAGTGTAGGGTTTAGGGTTTAGGGTTTAGGGTTTAGGGCTTGTTGGGTTTAGGGCTTGGGTTTAGTGTTTAGGGTTTACCTATAGTCTCCATTGTAGTTCCTTTTTGGCTCAACCAGCTTAATAAGTAGGATCTTACAGAAAAAAGAACTACCATGGAGACTACGGTAGGGCACAGGATCTTGCAAGACCTGAGACCCTAAAACACTCTTCGCACGATCCTCGTCGTATGCTACAGACTGGACGGTCACATCCCCAGCGCTCGCCGCGAAGATTTCCTGGTCTCACAATAGTCATGAGGTGGAGTATAGACCCTAAACCCTAAACTCTCGACGTATAGGGCTTACGGTTGGGTTTAAGAGTTTGGGCTTGGGGCGGTGTAGGGTGAAGCCAGTCTAGCCTGCTGGGCTCAAGCTTGAGGCAACAAGGAATAATCCATTTGCCATGACCGCCATTGCCACGAAGATCATGATGATGATGATGATGACGATGATGAGGATGAGGATGAGGATGAGGATGAGGATGAGGATGAGGATGAGGATGAGGATGAGGATGAGGATGAGGATGAGGATGATGACTCATGGTTAAGATCATTATTATCGTCTGTCTTGGGTTCTTAGTGGTGATGATCTTGGACAAGACCCTGACGATCACGAACGACACAAGCAAAAACATCAAGTCCTGCATATGGTGGTCAAGCTGTTAAGCTGCAAATGTAGGGGCCTGAATAATTAGAATAGGGTTTTGGGGCCCACTATACTATCATTAGATTACAGGACCCTATAAGGAATAATATAGGTCCACATAGGTTTATTATTTTGGCTTCTGTAGTAGTGGCAGTTTACCAGAATGAAACTTTGCACCCAGGGTGCAGAACTTAAAGGACAGAGATCCGATGCAGGCCGTGACGAACAATACACACACACACACTTTAGGGCGAAGAGCTCAGTCTTGACGCCAGCAAATCATCTGCGTCAAGACACGGCAGGAAAGTCCTCTCGAAGAGGCACTGGCAGTGCGGGTCCGCTGAGACGCACGCCCCAGGGCCCCCAGTTCCTCGCATTTGGCCGTGCAGAAAGGCTAGGTGGTCCAATGTCCCGCTCCAGTGCAGCAGGCGCGCCAGAAGCCGAAGCAGTGTCTCCGCGCTGCCATCCGGGACCCTAAACCCTAAACCCTAAACCCTAAACCCTAAACTCTAAACCCTAAACCCTAATCAGCTGCCTTCATCAGCCCTTTCATCCGCCGTGAACAGAGTCGGCGATGGGTCTCTGAGCAGCAGCACATGGCGCTGCAAATAATGCGCGGAAGTGTAAGCTCCCCAAAGTTTAGGGTTTAGGGCTTAGGGTTTAAAGGGTTTATGGTTTAGGGTTTAGGGTTTAGGGTTTAGGGGGACCCTCATTGGACTTATAAATTAGCTACCTGCAACGTATACTGAAGAACCGCTGGCTACATTGGATCTCTTCTACTTGCAACCTACATCAACCCTAAACCCTAAACCCTAAACCCCTAAACCCTAAACAGGAACCCCTAAACCCTAAACAAGAACAACTACGTAGGAATCCCTGAAGCTCGAAGTCGCAGCGTTTCCTGCTCTTAGCCCGAGACCCAAAGCCCGAAACCAGGTTTAGGGTTTAGGGTTCAGGGTTTAGGGTGTAGGGTTTAGGGTTTGCTTTAAAGTGCAATGGTCCCTTTCTCCCTGATTTAGAGTTTAGGGTTTAGGGTATAGGGCTTCAGTGCTTAACCCTGAGCCCTAAACGGCTGATCCCCAAATCCGGCGGTGTGCCACCGAAGGCATCCCCCACCCGCTTTGAGGGCACTGTTTTGAAACCCGAATAACAAGGTCGTTATAGCAGAAGTCTTCTTGAACTTTAGCCTTGTAGAACCTCCTAAACCCTAAACCCTAAACATTAAGGCTTTGTCGGTATAAGTTATGCCGTAGAGAACCATCGTTTGTTGCGTTTTACGGCGACTTGGTGCTTCTGCACACTCCATGCTACCTTGCGGTATCTTGTAGTTACTTGTCTTGCCGGCGTTAGCTCTGCATGAGAAGTTAGTAAACATGAATCAAACAAATCGTACAAGAAATAGTAGAACTGAACTTCATTGCTTAACTCGGAATCCCAACAAACCTGGACAGCCCAACAATGCCTCTTCCACAAACCTCCAGAAGCATGGGCCCACAGTCCCTGTGACCAAGCAGCCACGAGTTATCGAGGTCTACCTGGCGAACTACCTGCCAGAAGCCTACGTCACAGCAACTGAGTAAATCCTACAAGCCAACTTAACCCTAAGGGTCCATGTGCTCATATACCTTGGGCCTTAATGTAGTCCCTATCTAGGTACTTTGGGGCTAACACCTTTGCTATTCAAGTATATCCAACAAGTCAACTAAAACAGTCAAGACGCAGCGCCCACGAGGCAAAGCTCAGACAGCAGCCGTGCACCTGACCATCATGTTGTAGTAGAAGTAGTAGTAGTAGTAGTAGTAGTAGTAGTAGTAGTAGTAGGAGTAGTAGTAGTAGTAGTAGTAGTAGTAGTAGTCGTAATCGTAGTCGTAGTGGCAGTAGTTCTGAGAACTTGAA